TTTTTTTTTTTTTTTTTTTTTTTTTTTTTTTTTTTTTTTTTTTTTTTTTTTTTTTTTTTTTTTTTTTTTTTTTTTTTTTTTTTTGTGGCACTTGGAGCCCAAGAGAAATAATAGACGTAATTAACAACTTTTTTTTTTGTAGGAAACATTGAATATTAAAAAGGAAAGAAAGCAAAACCTCAAACTAAGAAAGATTAGAGAAGTTTCTTCCAGGCTTAAGGACCATTTAAACTATTGTTGTTAGAAAGCAACATAAATTTTACATCAACATAGAGCCGCAAAATAAATGGTATCAAAGAAACTATCAATAGTCTTTTCTATATTGTTAAATGTCCTATTCTTCCTCTCAAGCCACAGAAACTCCTCTAACTTTTTGGAAGGATAGCTAGCCATGGTAGTGGAGAGCAGGTTGTTTAAGCTGTAAGGTAGAGCCACACGCCAATTGAAGGAAGAAAGAAAGTAAGAAGGTCCAAAACTTATATACAACGCTTGAAGGTGCATTTAAGGAAAACATGTTCTTGCGATTCTACCTCCTCCTTGCAAAAATACACCATCCTGTAGTGAGAGAGAATTAGCAAAGGAAACTTATTTAGTATCATATCATAAGTGTTAAGACTCTCATGAGCAAGTTCTTACCATAAAAACTTCTTTTTTAGGATGTTTGGCTATCTGCTATGCTAATTTTCTTTGTATAACGAGGGCAGGAAGAAAAATGGCAAAGCCAGAATAGTGTTTGTACACTCGGGCTAAATTTAACAACTTACCCATTTAGTAGGAGAGGGAAATTCAGGTTTTGAATATATTTATCTTCTTTTATTACTCACTGCTTGTCGATGATGACAATAGTAAAATCCAGTTGCTGTTTTTCAGTGGAATGTTCTTTTGGGAAGACAGAAACTTGTCTGACTCAATGTTTACATTAGTATCATTAAGATTAATTACTGATTTATTATTCACAAGCTAAGATTCTTTTGTTCGTTTAATGAAAGTTTGATTCTTTACCAAAATATATATATGTGTGTGTGTGTGTGTATTCACAAGTTAAGATAAAAAGTATCAGCCATTGTTAATTTTGTTATAATGATTTTATGAAACATTCATTAAATTTCCATGACAAGAAAGTGTAGTTACTTATTTACTTTTAAAAAATTTTAAGTTCAAAGCTGATTTGTTTATATGTGGAATGCTTATGTTGCATCTATTCATTTCATATGCTTTATCGGCTACTTAGTCTGTAAAGGCTCAATAATTCTCTTAATTATTTGATACAATGCATTACTAATAGTTTCTTTGTAGAATTTTATCTGACGACCTGCCTCATCTTTGATTGAGTTGATCATTTAATTTTTTTGACTTTTATTAGTGTGTGACCTGTGAAGGGTTTGAGCTCACAAGAATAACCCTGGTGGATATGGAAGGACAGGTATGCACTTTATCTCTGCTTCAGTTAATTGCCTTAATGAAAGCATTAAATTTTTGTATGAGGAAACTTAACTGGTGCTTTGAAGACTTTAAATCAAGTACTTAATAATTCTTATCTGAAAAAAAAAAAAATCAAGAACCATATAGTTAATATGGCGACCATCTTGCTAAGTTAATTTAGTTATCCATATCTTTATCCTTTCTCAGGTTATGCTTCTTTTTAATGTTAAAATGTGTATTTAATAAACTAAAGTCACTGGATTTTACCTCAGAGGCATACAGGTCCTGTTTGTTAAACTGAAGTTTTAGACCAGCTATTTTCAGTTTTGGGTTAACAAAGTATTATCAACTTTTATTTTTGTGATTTCTGTATTTGATTTTGTTTTTAGACCACTGTGTTTTACTTCTACAGGTCCCATTCTTTTTGATTTATTACCTTTTTATCTCAGGTTGTCCTTGACAAATTGGTAAAACCATCAAATGCAATTGTTGATTACAATACGAGGTAAGATAGTCGAGCTTTTAGTATCAATTCACAAAAGGCTTTTATTTAATATCAATTCTCATAAAAAGAATATGTCACCAAGAAAAGTTGTGAAAATCTTAGTTTCCTGTATTTGATCGATAGTGATGATTTATGAAGCCATTTTAGTTATATTGCACGGTTTACTCTTCTTTAAATTGCTTGCATTTGGTAATTATGCTTGTTTTTCTGATTAGTGGGCAAGTGGCTATACTTTTCAATCTGGCGATTTCTCTATTCTTTTTTCTCCCTCGTTTTTTTTTCTTTTTATAATAATTTTGCTCTGACAGGAAACAGACTTGTTATTCATAGTGAAAAGAACACCACTGGCTGAAGGAGATTCGAAAGTACTGCCCTAAGTTGGAAAATAATCGGAAAGAGTTGGTAAAGGCTAAAGAATACATCATTGAGAAAATAACTAGTAAAAGCTTTATGGTACACCATTGAGATGCTGCGAGTTTAGCGAACTCCAAAAGCTCGTACCATTTTGTGGCAGTGTTCCGTTTAAGGATCTTGTCTTCCCATCTAAATTTTCCCAAGGTTGGTCATCACGACATTGACCCAGAGTGATATGAACCAAGACATCTGTAACGGCTCAAGCCCAATGCTAGCAGATATTGTCCTCTTTGGGCTCTCCCTTTCGGGATTTCCCTCAAGGCTTTAAAACGCGTCTGCTAGGGAAAGGTTTTCACACCCTTATAAAGAGTATTTCGTTCTCCTCCCCAACCAATGTGGGTTTCTCACAATTCACCCCCCTTTGGGGCCGAGCGTTCTTGCTGGCACTCGTTCCTTCTCCAATCGATGTGGGACCCCCTTCAAATCCACCCCCATTCGGGCCCAACGTCCTTACTAACACACCGTCTCGTTTCTAAGAAATAGCTTCTTCACTGACACATCGTCCAGTGTCTGCCTCTGATACCATTTGTAATGCCCCTAATTTTCTTAACCTACATAGTGACGTCACCCATGCATGCATAAATCATAAAGCGGGAATTCATAAGCTTTGGAAACAACACCAAGGTCTTACATAAAAGTTCAAAAACTCGAAATGAACATATCTCAGAATAAGAAAACCTTCGTAAACTGAAAACAAAAAATTGAAATAAAACAAGCATTCATCAATTTAACTTAAAAACTCAATTAAAACATAAGCGGCCCAAGAATGCCCTCTCATTAACTTCCATGGTATCCTCAGCCTCCTCCGTCACCCGTGCATAGGTGCCTTGCTTTTACCAGAAAAATTTAGGTAGCATGTAGCTTGAGTATTTTATGAAATACTCAGTAAGTCACCTCACTGTTGGGGTTAGATATGCGAACACATGGGTGGGACCTATCTTTCATAAATCATGGCCTTGGGTTATTTTCTTTTCTGGCAAGGTTGGATGTATGATACTTTTCCATACACGGCCCCCATATGGGCACATGGGCCCACCAGACGGGCTCGTATACGTACTCCTTGGGTCTGGCTTGGTCGGGCACAACATATTACACGTCACTGGACGCCACAGAATAGAAAAAGGCCGCATAATATCGTGGCGAAACATAGATATCGAATTCTTACTTTCATGAGACCTCATGCATATTTGTATGTCATTTGCATCGGGATACTTTCCCTTTATGTCATGAAAGTAAGAATTCGATATCTATGTTTCACCATGATATCATGCAGACTATTTCTGTTCTGTGGCGTTCGGTGACGTATAATACGTTGTGCTCGACCAATCTCTAGGCCCAGGGGGTACGTATACGAGCCCGCCTGGTGGGCCCATGTGCGCATACGTGAGCCGTGTGTGGAGAAGTACCATACATCCAACTCTGTCCAAAAAAGAAAATATCCCAAGGTCATGTAAAGTTTATGAAAGATAGGTCCCACTCATATGTTGCATGTGTTTGCATATCTAACTCCAACAGTGGGGTGACTTACTAAGTATTTCATTAAATACTCAAGCCACGTGCTACCTAAATTTTTCAGGTAAAGGCAAGACACCTATGCACGGTTGACAGTGGAGGATGAGGATACCATGGAAGTTGATGAGAGGGCATTCTTGGACCGCCTATGTTTTAATTGGGTTTTTAAGTTAAATCGATGAATGCTTGTTTTATTTCAATTTTTTGTTTTCAGTACGAATGTTTTCTTATTTTGAGATATGTTCATATTGGGTTTTGAACTTTGATGTAAGACCATGGTGTTGTTTCCAAAGCTATTTATTATGAATTCCCGCTTTATGATTTATGCATGCATGGGTGACGTCACTATTTAGGTTAAGAAAATTAGGGGCGTTACAACATCAATCATGCAAGATAAATTTCAAAGAAGATGTGAGGAAAATATTGTTCAAATTATCACAAGATGTTGCAATTCATGCAACGTTTAAAAAATAGTCAACCTTCATTCGTTCTTGGATGGTTACAAATTTTGGGTGGATGATAATCTAGAGTTATGGTGTTTCTTTAATGTATTTTAAGACTTTTATTTGCTTTAAGGTTACATCAACCTTACTTGTGGAGTGATTCGAATCTTAATCAAGTGTTCTTTCTTTAAGATATTTGATCAACAAGATAATTCAAATTTTACTTTTCCTTGGAGTGATTTCTTATCATTAGGGCTAAGTGTTCTTTCTTTTTTCCTTTAGCCAATGACTAAGTTTCTTGGCAATTCTATGTAGTTTAGATTGCATGTTTAGAATCACTCAAGCTAGACATGATCGATCTTTCTTGTGGAGTGATCTAAATCTCAAACAAGTGTTCTTGCCTTGAGATATTCGACCAACTAGGTAATCCGAATCTTACTTTCCTTATATGATTTCTTGTATCAGAGCTTTCCCTTGGGTTGATTCTTTATCATTTGGTATTAGAGCTCTCCCTTGGGTTGATTCCTTATGACAGAGGAGCAAAGAACTTCCTTAGGACAGAGGAGCAAAGAACTTGCTTAATAGTGTCTTTAGAACTCTTAGGAAAGCATGGATTGAAGCCAATGTAAATAAGAAGTCCGGCCACATTTTCTAACTGTTATGACAGCGGAGACAAAGATGAACATTATCAACTCCATTGTCCTTTCAAAAACTGCTGTGTGATATGAAGATTTAGGGAATATTTCTTCTGAGTTGCCTATGCAATATTCAAATTTTCTGGGAGAGAGTCTAAGTTTAGAATTTATCTTGTTAGGAGCTTTGAGGCTCCAGATAGTATTTACAAATGTGTTGAGGAGAATATTCAGGTGTCCGTCCATGTGATAGGCATGCTATTAGGCTAGAATTAGGAATAGTATTAGCATATGAAGGGTATATTAGTAATTAGATTGGAAAGTTGTTATGGAGACTAGTTATAAATATAGTCTAAATGTTTGTCTATTGTGGCTTAACAGGTTTAGTGGAATTACATTTGAGATGTTAAGTCAGGTGACCACTAGTCTGGAAGATGTTCAGGTTCTCTCTTTGACACTGTACTCACTGATGTTATCTACTTGCAGTAATCAGTTTCTGATGGAACTTTCTAATGCACTGTGGTAAATGTACATTGCAGAAAGTTTTTTTGAATCTAGTTCACAAGGAGACCGTTCTAATTGGTCATTCACTGGAGAATGACCTGATGGCATTAAAGATCTCTCATGATCTGGTGATTGATACTGCAGTACTGTATAAGCATCCCCGTGGCGGCTCTCATAAATCTGCCCTTCGAATCCTTACCAAAAAATTTCTTTCCAGGGAGATACAACAATCTGGCAATGGCCATGATAGTATTGAAGATGCAAGAGCTACTATGGAACTTGCACTTCTTAAAATTAAACATGGTAAGTGACATTCTACTGGCAATATATTTATGGAGAACACAGTTTGATTGTTCTCTCTGAAGTTCCTCAGGAATATTTCTGGTTACAGTTCATGACGGGTCTTCAGAATAACTTGATGTGAAAGTAGCATTTGTTTCAAGTAATTTAGTGTTTAATTTAATATGCAATCTTGCAACTTCATTTATTGCTGCGAAAAAGCCTAATTGAGTTTCATGTTTGATATTCTCATTAGTTGTGCTGCATGTAAGTGCCATGGTATTGCTGTGAGGATAAAAATCGACCTATTCGTACGTAAAATACTGAGTTTTTTCCTCTCATAAAATATAGAGTGAAATCCAAAAATTGTGCCTAAGCATATTTTTGAAGGGGCCAACTTATTGTTTGAGCACTCTTCAAAAAGGGGTAGGATACACTCAAGGAGGATCTTGTTTAATTCTTCTAGGATTTCTTTCATATTGGAATTGTAGTCTAATGTAAATGAGATCCTCTTATTAGCTATTCTATAAAGGCTAGTGCTACTGAGGCATCTAACTATAGAGTTCGGTCCTTAAAAATCATCTTACGTTGTGTTGCATATAAATCGCCAAATTCTGCCGAGTTCTTATTGAATGCCTTCTCTCTTGTTTTCTATCAGGACCCGAGTTTGGTTCACCTCCATCATTAATCAGGAAAAAACTACTTACTATACTTGGTGAGAATGGAAAGACGTCTTCTTTCATCGATGATGTTTCAACAGTGAAGCGATATTCCTCAGAATCATCGCATGCATTTCCTGTAACTTCTGATGATGAAGCTCTTTCCAGGGCGAAAAAAGAGGTTGGCATGGCGCTGATTGTATTTGACTGAAATTTCTTTTATAACTGATATCTAACTAGTTTGTGGCTATTAGGTAATGAATGAAAGAGTACACTTCATATGGACACAATTTTCGGAATTGAATTCTTACCATAAGAAGCAAGTAGATGATGAAGAAAGATTGAATGTCAAGCTTGCAGAGTTATTGTCATTACTTACATGTGATTCAAAATCTGTAAACAAGAAAAGGAACAGCCGCAAAATCTCTGTTGAACTACGGGAAATTTTGAGCCGCATGGATTCCAGAATCAAGGACCTTTATACCTCGTTACCTACTAATGCTATGCTTATTGTTTGCACTGGTCACGGTGACATAGCACTTGTACAGAGGTATGTGCTTTCCTTTCCATTTATCATGGTAAATTCTTACTGCTTCCTAATATCAGAGTTTCTGGTTGATAGAATGACAAATGATAGCAAAGAATCTAGCAATTATTAGAACATGGATGATAGCAATAAATTGTGATGAACTCCTTAAGTGGGCTAACGTGATTGGCTGTTCTGTTATGACCTTCCCTCTTGGCTTTCATTCTCACCATAACCCCAAATCCAAATCTTGTGGGATTTGATCGCAGAAAAGATGAGCAAAAGATTGGGTTGTTGAAGGAACATTAGTAGTAACCTTTAGTTGGTTATAACTCTCCATATAATAAGAAAAGTAGCATTCTTTTACAGTCATCAAATTTAGAGTGCCACAACCGGAGGATTTAGTAGTAGCATATGAGAACCACACCGAGAGTTTGCCCCCTGGGTATATTTGCCATATATCAGGGTGGAAGATGGAATCGGGGCGGTTTGCTGCGGAGCCTGATGCAAGCCTTCCCTAGACAGAATTCATATTTTAAACCTGGGAGAGCTTTGACTATTCCAAATTCACTGTTATGAGGTGTTGGTCAAGATAGGTTGGGTAGGGCCCCAAAGGTAGTGGTCCCATCTATCTCTCCTCCACCCTTTCCCGTGATATAGAGTCCGGCTGTTTTTATGGAAAGTCACTAAGGTGGAGTCATTTTGGGTCTGTTTGAGATGACCTTTTAAGTATTTAAAAAAGTGTTTTCAAGCCCTTGAAAAAGTCATTCCATGCCCAAAGCATCTTTTAAGTATTTAAAAATGTGTTTTCAAGCACTTGAAAAGTCATTCCATGCCCAAAGTAGGTGTGGTTTAGTACAATCATCTACGATATCTCGTGTAGGTGAATATCAATACCATAAAGTTTGAATCTATCCTCCCGACATACTTTATAGCTTTCGTTTCAAATCGTAATGACTTATTTTTCTGGGAACAATATTAAACGTTTTCACATTTGTGTATGGAGACAGATTGAGGAAAATGCTAAAGGAGCAAAGTGAAACAATGATATCCCGTGAGAAGATTGTCAAAATCTTGGAAGACCTCCATGCCCAAGCTGAAGTAGCTCTCTGTTTTGCTTCTATAAAGCATTCATCAGTACTCTAATTCTTCTATCTCTTTGTAATATATTGTTTCCTTCCATTTGTCATTCATCCATAATTATCATGATTGGAATTTGAATGAGTGATTATAGGCAATCACTATTTGTGTCAATTATCTATTTATAAACCATTAATTTCACATGTGTTATTGTTAGACGAATACGACTATATTGTCTACTTTGAGCCTACGCTCTCATGGCTTTGCAATGGAGAAAGTATTCTTTAGTTATAAACTTATGATCATTCCGTAAATTAGCCGGTGTGGAATTTTCATGCTCACCAACAATTATAATTGTAGTTAATCAGAGCTAATTAGGGATTAATAAATTAACATTGATATCGACATTGAGACATCTATATTTTTTGTTGGACTCGTGAATTTATAAAAGTTGAATGATGTGAAATTATGTGAAATAATAGAGAGATGATAAAGAAAATAAAGCCAAATGAAAAACTTGCATTTAGTGATGTGTAACTAATAAATATTAATATTTGGAAGTTTTCAATAATTATTTACATATTCATGGTAAGTCATACGTGCTCATCATGCATGGTAAGTCATACGTGCTCATCATGCATGGTAAGTCATAGTATTTCACACGGCATAAATATAATCATAACAATATAACAAATATGTTCAACAATTCAAGAAATACATGCCATCGTGAAAGTTCACAAGAATATAATAATAACATTAAATAATATGATGATGTAGAGATCTACAATTATGAGAAATTCATGCTTCATTCAATCCATCCAACCTAACTTGTATGTGTTACAACATTAAGTCTACTCACAGGGTTGGCCTAAGCTATTCTAAAAAAAAACCTATGAACCCTAATCAACGTAAATCAAGAGGAATACAGAACACCATACCAAAACTCGATCACCAAAATTTTCAACGTAAATTGAGAAGAATACAACACACCACGTCGAAACTCGGTCACCAAAATTCTTTAACTTACCCACTAAAAGCCTTTGTCCGTTCAAATAAAAAAGCATATGAACAGTTCCAAACTTGGAAACTACAACCAAGTGGGATACCTAATTCTTTGGAAGTTTTCCATCATTATTTACCTTTTATTTCATTTTTGACACGAAAAATTTTAAATTATAAACAACAAAGTGTCTATTGAATAGAGAGAACTCTCCCTTTGAAAAGGATACAACATATTGAAATAAAGGAATGGGTGGATCTCCCCCATTGGCCAGATCAAGGGCACAAACATGGGATACAGAGGCAAGAGAGTTGATTTGACCAGACAGACCAGATGAGCGAGATTGATTTAAAGCGAAAGAAAGCGTTGCACCAACTTGTGTACAAAATTGATATATGAATTTGAGACGGTAGTCAAAATCCTCTTCAACGGTCTCAATTTAAGGATTTAATTGATATAATTATAAGTTAATTTTATAGGTTAAATGGTAATTTTAATTTCATAATTACCTAAATTTAATGGTATTAAAAAGTTGTAATAAATTGCTTTATTAATTTTTATTTATCGCACTTACTACCATTAGGGCAAAACTACAATTCTACCCAACTTATTAATGCATTTTTGTGCCACATAAGTTGGCTAAAAAAATATTAATAGTTTGTTCATAATTATTAATATTAATGCACTTTTTTTTATTTTTTCAAATGAGAACCGAATTAAAAGTTTAATATTATTGGAATGAAATCTTAAAATTTAAAACAAAGTTCATAATTAAATTTAAAAAAAATGAAGAAAGTTACAATATTATTGTTCAGAAATAATAGACTAAATTAAAATAGACCATTAAGAAAAATTAACTAGAGGAAGACTAGGAAATTGATTCTTTTCGAGCTATAATCTCTCATTGCATCATAGGAATTAAAAAAAAGGGTTTGGGGGAAGAATCCGCACGAATCAGATTTTTTGAGCAACATATCGAGAGAGATATTTGGTCAAACACCTAGTTACAAACTCCTATTTTCCTTTGAGTACAGTATTTTTCGGATAAAAAAAAGACCAAGATAAGAGTCAAAAAAATGAAAGGGCAACTAAACTATAAGACAAGTAAGTTTCTCCAAACCGTACAAGTGCTCGGCGAGCCCATCCCACCTTAATGCACTTCAAATTTAGTTGCCAGTGTGACAACAGTTCTTTTCTTTTCTAGCCTTGCCAGTTGCTTATCCATTAAGCAGAGGAAATCCTATTTAATAGAAGGATTATGACCTTATGCTTCCAAGAACGGACTAAGAGGGTCAGCTATATGGGTGCTTCCCTCTAAGGCGGAACGTTCTCCTACCGATGCATTTTTACATCTCACAGCTTAGCCTCGTTCATTTTCGTCAAAGTCTTAGATTGGCGACTAAGTCCCTTATCCTTCTCGTTTCCAAGGAAGGGGTGATTGCATTTGTGTTATGTGTCAAGAAAATGATCAAGAAATTCTCTCTACACAGCTGAGAAATGACCGTGTTGTTGCACATACGGAACAAACGTTTCTCCTTTAAAACCACCTTTTAAGAGCTTTTAAAAATTTTTAAAATGAGTAATATCATATTCATTTACAACCATTGACATTTATGATTATTATTATTATTAAAAAAAATCAGATTTATTGAATTTGTTGAAAATCTAAAATGTTGATCCAATTTGAAGTTTTAAAACCATTATAAAGTTTTTTAAAATATGAAATGTGCAATTAAAATATATTTTAAGCTTAAAAATAGATTATGGTCCGATTCTATACAAATAAAAGTACAAAGTATAAATTTTAGATTTTTTTTTCTTTTTAAATCTCAATTAAATAAAATAAATTCTAATTTCCATATTATTTTATCAAATTTCATATAAAAGAAAATACCTTAAAATTTTAATAATTCAATATAGTCTAAAATGATAAAAATTTATATATTCTAAAAACAAAACGGGGAAGATAAGACCGAGGAGAATATATTCTGTCACCAAATTCTAACACGTAAATTTTAAGGTATCTTTTCATCTATGAGCAAAATAAGGTTACAATCCAACTCAACTCATACTCAACTCATAGATGAAATATTTATGAAAAGAAAAAGGAGAGAGAGTAAAATTGGAAATGACAAAAATGGGCTTGCGTCTGATTTCTCCGGAAGCACATCTCTAGAGTTCCAGAAGTTGGCACCCCATGGGTAGCAATGGCAAGGCATTGGGGGGGGGTGGAAGAGGCAGTCCCCACCACGCCACCACCACCTTCCAAACAAAATCAAACCCAACCCAAAAACTGACACCTCTATTTATGCACATCCACTCTTTCACATCGTTTTCATCTCTTCCTCTTCTCTCTCTCAATTTTATTCTCTTTCTTTTCCCATTCCCTCACTATGATTCGGACTTCCCTCGGCCTTCTCAGTCGGGATTTTCCTGGCGGCGGCGGCGGCGCCCGTCAGAATGCCTCGGTGTTACTTTCCTCTTCTAACCGCTCCGCTTTGCTTTCGCCGACACGTCGTTTCGAATCCCCCGAAGCCGCGCGACTCCATGAAGACGAAAACGATGCTCAGGTTGGTGGCTTTATCATTTTTCTATCTCTTTATTTAAATATTAATAATAATCTATATTTGTTTTATAAAAATTATTTTCTAAAATAAAATGTTTTTTTTTCTTTTCATAATTATGAAAGGAAAATAATTTAATGTTTTTTTTTTCTTTTATTTGGGAAAAAAAAAGTCAAATCTGAAATTTCTTTACCATTTATAATGATCTTAAAATTTACTTACCATCCTTGTGTATATTATATAATATAATACAATAATGAGATAACTTTTAGTATTTAATATTAAAAATTTATCAAATAATATAATATCATTTATGTTAACTATTTCAATTAAAACATTTGATTATTAACTTTTTAAACTTTTAATTAAAATATATATATATATATATATATATATATATATATATATATATATATATATATTTACTGTGGTAGGAGTTGGATTTTCCGGGAGGAAGAGTTCCATTTACGAGTGAAATGAAATTCATTGCTGAGTCGAGTGAGAAGCGGGTGTCGTGTTTTCGAATTCTCCACGAAAATGGGGAGACGATTAAGCCCACCAATTTCAAGCAGGTTTTACTTTCTTTTTTTTTTTCTTTTTTTTTTTTTTAATAATAATATAATTTATATATAGTTGAGCAAGGATGTATCGATGAAGATGTACAAAGACATGATTACCCTTCAAACCATGGACACCATATTCTTCGAAGCACAAAGGCAAGGAAGAATCTCATTTTACTTAACTTCAGCCGGAGAAGAAGCAGTGACCATTGCTTCAGCAGCTGCGCTTCACTCCGACGACGTGGTTTTGGCTCAGGTACGTATGTATGTATGTATGTATGTACCTTAATTTAGCTTATAATATAATCTCGTTTTGGTTTAAGAGAGTCGGGTTGATTTATTACAGTACAGGGAGCCGGGAGTGTTGTTATGGCGTGGATTTGGATTGCAAGAATTTGCAGATCAGGTGTTTGGAAACAGAAGTGATTATGGAAAAGGTAGGCAGATGCCCATTCACTATGGCTCCAATCTGCTCAATTTCCTCACCATTTCATCGCCAATTGGGTAACACAACGCGCCTTCATCCCTCAATACTTCATACTTAACTTTGTGGCTATCAAATTGAAACAATGTGTGTCCTTTATTAACTGTCTGTTGCAGAACGCAGCTTCCACATGCTGTTGGCGTTGCTTATTCTCTTAAAATGGACAGAAAAGACGCCTGCGCTGTGACTTATTTTGGAGATGGCGGCACCAGCGAGGTAGATACCTTAAATATCCTCTTCTCTTTTTCCAATCTTGAACACTTAATAATGTTAGATGAACACGAGTCTTCACGATTGTATGATATTGTCTACTTTGAGCATAAGTTCTCGTGACTTTGTTTTGAGCTTTCCCAAAAGGGCTCATACGAATGAAGATAGTATTCTTTGATTATAAACCCATGATCATTCCCTAAATTAGTCGATGTGTGGGACTTTCAGCCTCCAACACATGGAACTTTAATTGAATTTTGTTACTTACACAGGGGGATTTCCACGCGGCATTGAACTTTGCAGCAGTGTTAGGAGCGCCGGTGGTTTTCATCTGCCGGAACAACGGCTGGGCTATCAGTACTTCCATCCAAGAACAATTCCGAAGTA